TCAGGGAGAGAATTCTTTCTTTCCAGCTATAAATATCTACTTCGAGAATGGCAGCCTCCACCCAGCCCCAGAGCCCCTCCTGTGAAATAAATCTCTTGCCAAAATGGCGTGTTTTACGTGGCGTATTTGTGCTTCCCTACAAGCCGAACACCTGCCCTGGTGTGGATCATCAATCAAACACAGGTCCACAGAGGTGACCTGCCTGGGGCCACAGGGGTCAGACAATGGGCAGGGACAGGTTCCTGTCTTCACATGTGGGCCCCACTGTCACTCACTATGCTCCATGCAATGCTGTAGAGGCAGGACTGGACACGGGGCAGGTTTTCTGATCCCATGCAGACCGGGTAAAGGAGGAGTCAGAGTCCTCAGTGGTTTTGCAGGTTTTTATTGGGGTTCAATGGGTACATGGCAGGCAAGGGTGCTGGGGGGCTGGGAGGCTGGCAGTCCTCCCAGCCCCCAGCAAATCCTCACTCTATCTGGGCTCTCCGGCCTTCTCTGCTTCTGCTTCTCCTCTGCTTCTTTCTCAGCTTCTCTTTCGGCTTTTCTACTGGTGTCCCCGTGACGCCGCCCTTAAAAGCACAGTCTTGGCCCAGGTGTACCCACTTCAGGTGCCCGCCATCAGGCATGCATTCAGGATCACAGGGTTCCCTCATCTATCCTGATGGTAGGAGGGCAGAAAAGCCTGATTTTTTACCTTACCCTACAAATGCCCATGTGACACCTGTTTGACCAAGGAAGGTCAGCCTTCCTGCAGGGTGGATGGGGGGCCCCCATCTCTGCCACAACTGCTGCCCCACTGGTGGCATGTAACAGAGGGGACGCTCCATAAAACAGGTAGTTCTGATACCGGAATGGTCAGGCCTAGTCTCCCAGCCAGGAACGGATTCCAGGCTGCAGGGCAGCGCTGAGCCCCAGCTGCTAGACCCCCCACGGGTTGGTGTCTCACGAAGCCGCAGCAGGAACTTCGCAGACGCTCAGGCAAGCAAGCGAGAAGAGGCAGGTTTGTTTAGAAGAAGAAAAAGTTTATTGAGGAGAAAAAGAGCAGAAATAAAGTGGGACTCCCAGGCCAGGGAACCAGGCCTGGGAGGGGCAAGGCAGCCAAAGTGGAGTCGTGTCTCAGGGAATATAGACCTTTTTCCCCTCATTATTCTAAAGCTCCACCCGTCTCTCTGTGATTGGTCAGTTCTCGGCTGTCTCAATTTGCTTCTGAGTGGGGATCTTCACATTCCTTATCTAACAGCTTTCTCTTTCCCCATTTGTTGCATCTTTAAATTTATGGCCCAGTCTTCTGGATGGGCTTCCCTGCATTGAAGCTAAACAGCTGCCCTTCTAATGTGACCATAAATGAAACCACTCTCCATTTCTCCAATCTCCGCCTCCCTTTACCACCTGAAGGAAACCAGGACCAGCATTAACAATGTTGTCCTTGGTCCTGGCATGTTTGTTTTTCCTAATGGAATTGGTTATATTTCTTTGGTTGTCCTTATCTCTGAAGCCTCCTTAAATTCTTCAGAGGTCCCCTCCTGCACTGTCCCTAAAACTGCCTAATAACCCTAGCTTGCCCTGTCTCAGTTCCATGTTCCCTGCCCACCCAGAGAAGCTGGAGCTAAGCAAAACGGGGAAGCGAGAGAAGACTTGAGAGGAGACTTGGAGGAGGCAAGTGGAGCAGAGAGACGTGTGAGGAAGAAGGGCCTGCTTGCTCCCAACTTTGGACGTGCACCAGGGACTTGGGGGTCATGGAACTGTAACCTGGAGACCGGAGTTCGGGCCACCTGTCGCCACCAAATGCCAAGAAGGTAGAGACAGAAATTGAATCTTTAGAGTGTGCTTTAATCAGACAGCTGGCAATCTAGAAGACAGGGGGGTGAATACCCTAAAGAAACTGCCTTCACATATCATGTCCAGCTGGCTTTTTATAGCAATCAGAAGTAAGCAGGCCTCAGTGCTTCCAGGAGATTGTGATTCCGGCCGCCGCAGCTCCTAATTGCCCCTGGACACCTGGCCTCCGGCTCGTCCCAGTGTGCTGAGGCCGGTCTGCAGATAGCACTGCTCACCGCACTCCTCCAGACATGACCTTGGGCTGGAAAATTAACTCAGAACAGACGGGCCATGAGCAACGTGTGTGCGCAGATTCCTGCTATACCAGCTTAGCGTCTCGCCCCGTCTCTGCCCCCTCCCCAGCCCTACCAGAAGGAGACTCTGGAATGGAGACATGTGGGGACACTTGGAGGAGACGTGGGTGAGACATGGGGAAGGCTAACAATAACAGCCTTATCTTGATTTGTAGTTTAATTTTGCTCTTTTCCCAGACTTGCCTGGTCCCTTCTGCCCCTTTGCCAGGCCTCAGCGTCCCTGCTTTGGGCCAACCCTATTTGGCTGGGCATTTACCCACGAGGGGATGGGTCGCCTAGGGTGTTTTATTGCAACATGTAGGGCAAAGAAAATGTCAGACTTTTCTGCCCTTCCGCCATCAGGATAGATGATGGATCCTTGTCCTGAATGCATGCCTGATGGCGGGCACCTGGAATAGGGTGTGGGCATAGGTAGATGGGATTCAGCTGAGCTAAGACTGTGCTTTTTTAAGGGCGGCGTCATGGGGACGCCAGAAGCAGCAGCAGCGGTAGAAGCCGAAGCCGAAGCCGAAGCCGAAAGAGAAGCCGAGAAGCAGCAGAACCAATGCCAGAGAGCCCAGATAGAGTAAAGACTTGCTGGGGGCTGGGAGGCCTGCCAGCCTCCCAGCCCCCCAGCCAGCACCCCTGCCTTGCACGTACCCGCTGAACCCCAATAAAAGACCTGCAAAAAACCACTGAGGACTCTGACTCCTCCTTTACCCGGTCTGCATGGGATCAGAAAACCTGCACTCTGTCCTGTCCTGCCTTTACACAACACTAGTATCCTTTTCTCTCTCCTCTATGCACACTATTCCTACTGCGGTTCTGGCACACAGAGTATGCTTTGTCTTTATATGGCGGATCGCAGAATCCCTGCAGAGCATGCCTTTGGGCCTGGGGACAAAGGCACCTTCCCTTCATAGAGTACAGTGGTATGAACAGGACAGGAGGCTCTTTAGGATAGAACTATGGGATCGGAGACCCCATAGGCTCTCAGGAGGCCCTGACGTTGAAACCGTATCCAGCGCTTCCTCTGTTTCCTCAAACTCCCAAGTCTCTGCTTTAGGGAGCAGCTGCTGCTGACCGCTGCCCAGTGGCATGAAGTCCACTGGTGGAACCATGATCTAGTAGCTGCTTCAGTCTCCACAGGCAGAACCTCAGCTTGGTTGGAGATGCTGTAAGAGTTACTTAAGTAACTCTGTTTGGGGCAGAGCCTGCCTAAATTGCACACCCCAAGCCACACTCCTGCCGCGGACCAGCGCAGCGGTAGACTGGCAAGGCCGTCCCAGGGATGTGAAACTCGTGCAGGATGGTCAAGGATTCGGCGCATAAATGACAGACAGACACACTTCAAGAGTGAAGATCTGAATGTAATTTGCTCAAATCATTACGCATATTTATACATTTTCAAAAGACATTAGGTCACACAAAATCTATTTTCCCAGCATAACAATGTTTCTTGTTACCTAGGCATAGAATACAATTTTCTAGCTAATGGTTTACAAGTTGCTAAGCATATGTGGTTACAATACATTTCCTGAAACTGATTTTTACATATATAGAAAAAGTCAGGTAGGTAAGAAAATAGTATAATTATAGACAAGTTGCTAAGTTACTACTTATTCAGAAACAATGACTAACTGGTTAATGGTTAAACTGCTTTGTAGGTAATTCCATCAGGCTTGTTTGTAGGCGACGCTCTTAGCAGCCTTGTTTTCAAGCAAAGGAGGGGTTTTTTACTGCGGGCTTATTGCCTAGATTGGGCTTACAGCCGTTTAGACATTTGCCTGAATTTAACGCCAAAGATTTTCATGATGAAGCCCGTCGGGGACTGCGCCTGTCCTAGGTCGTCAGGAGTCACAGACATGAGGCTGGCCAGTGCCTTCTGTAGTCTGCCCCCGATCTTACCCGTCATTGACTGTCCAGTCCAGCGCACAGGGGAAGGGGGTCTTACTCACTCGGATGTGTCTGAGTGAAAGCCTCCCTCTTTCCAGTATGTTCACTGGTGTTCAGCGGCAGGGGCTGCCGCACACTCCCCTCCCCCTTTTGCTTACTCTCCTCTCTCTGGTGCATACAATGTCATCCCCAGGTCATATAAATAACAATCTCTTTCCCAATGTTTTCTGATTTTTCATAAAATTTTAAAATTTAAATAAATTTTAAAAATTCAATTTTTTGGCGTGTTTCAGGAAAGGTTATTGCTGAAGGGCGTCTAGCAATCATAATAAGAACCCAAGGCTGGCCGCAATATTGGTTCATAAAACGCTGAGAACTTCACACAACAGCAGTCCAGCAATTGTCTCTGGTTCTCCTTCTTCTCCCTTTCTTCTCTCCACTCTCTACTCTTCTTTGTCTTCGAAACTCGAAATACCATGAACATTTAACAGGTGGCAAGGATGTTCTGAAATTTTTTTTAAAGATTTATTTATTTATTATTTATACAAGCACTGGGTACAGTCAGAAGCACGGGAGGGTGAGAGAATTCACCAGAGCCAGAGCGGGGAGCAGAGCAGGCAGAAGGACCGAAGTACACTGCTGAGGGGAGCAGCGGGCAGCAGGAGAGGTCTGCGCGCCATGCGGGACCCTCCTGCAGTGGCCGGGGAGCAGCCGGGGATCGAACCGGCACTGCAGAGGCTGCGGGCAGCTTCGCAACCCAGCGCTCAACCGCTGCGCCACCGAGGAGGCCCGGATGTTCTGAATTTAACATAAGTATCCTCTCAAAGCACAAACCTGTGCATGGGCAAAATCAAGAATGAATTCTAGAGAGTGGTTACTAGTGGGGGTGGGCAGGCAGAGAGAGGTGATGAGGCGGAAATCTCAGGCTGTGTTCACTGCCTCTGTCACGCTGGAGTCCTTGAGGAAGCAGGTGTTGGCTGTCGTATAACTTCTAGAGCACCTGGAAACACTCCAGGTGGTGCACAGGGCATAGCTGAGGGGCTGTGAGCGAGAAGGAGGGAGCAGGTGTGTGTCTGGCTCTTTCAACTGTTGGCCGTCATGCAGCAGAGAAAGTTGGCATTTGGTGGGATCTTGGGGTCCAGGAAGTGATTGGAAAATGATCTCTCCCACACCTGGATTTTTCTTTGACAGAAGAAGGGTAAAGTCTGTGTTTCAGTTTCCTGAGCAAACAAAACCTATATCATTGGCTGTGGATGTCCCCGGGGGCGTGTTCTGCTCTGATGCAGGAGCTGTAAAGGAGCTCAGCAGGGGCAGGCCGGCTGGGCTCATCTTGCACTCAGCCCTTCCTCTTCAGTTCTACTTCTTCTTTGGTAAGATGGAGAGGGGCGGGCTGGGGCTGCTTCTACCACTGTCCCCAACTTGTGTGGGTGGCGGGCTGTGCTCAGCCAGTGCCGGGGACAGGAGGGACGTGGGGGACAGGAGGGGCCTGCCTGCAGACTGTTACTGGAGTGGTCATCAGGACACTATGTTCAGAGAAGAGGGTTTCTGGAAGGAAGGATTCAAGCCCCTGCCTGCCCCTGGGTTCTGGGATGCTGGAAATGAGGATTCTGTGCTTGTCCTGGTTTCCCTCAGGCTTGGGGGCTGGGACAGTGAGAGAGAGGCTGAGGGAAGAGCCGACCCTCAGGAGGAGCCCAGTCAGAACCCAGACTGTTCTGGAACAGTCCCTGTTCTAGAAGCCGCTGCACCGGGTCCTGCCTCACTTTGCCTGTGACCTCCGATGAGTCACTTTCCATCATGAAGAGGGTGTTACATCATGGCACCCTCACCCCTCCGAGGGGCCCCTGGGGAGACCCCTTGTGGTCTCCTCCCCACTCCTCACCCCTGGCTAGTCCCTCCCAGGAAAGGACAGCCAGGTTCCTGGCCAGCGCCTCCCACTCAGGAGCCCAGAGTGCCTTGACCTTAGTAAAACAATTGGTTTTAAAACAATGGTCTTAAAAACAATTGGTTCTGATTTCCTGAGTTTGGTAGCTTTTAACTTGTTCTGTGGAAATTTCCGGGCATTCCAGCATATCAACTAGTCTGGCCCTGGCGTCTTCCGTTGGTAGCCTGGGCCCATCTGATAAAATGAATTCCTGCCCTCGACACCCCCCTGCTCTCCCCTAACAAGGTCCATTGTGACCCCAACATTTATACCAGCATCCTCTCCAGGCCCACTGCCCACAGAATTACAGAAGCTTCTAGATCCCCCTGTATCTTTGGAGTTTTTCAACACAGGGGGCCTCTAACCCAGTTCTGTAGCCTCCCCTCCCACCCCGGAAAAAGTCTTCCATTTGGGCAGTTTCAGCTCCAGCAGGTTTTTGTTACTCCTCCATCATGGTTTTAGCCGAGACAGGCAACTTAGCATCCCCACTGGCCTGCAAGGTCATGCCCAGAGGGATGAGGGGGGCCGGGGCAGGCGGACGCTGGGTCGGGGGGCCCTGGGGGTGGGGGGCGCTGGCCGGGAACCTGGCTGTCCTTTCCTGGGAGGGACTAGTCAGGGGTGAGGAGGGGGAGGGGACCACTGGGGGTCTCGCCGGGGTCCCCTCGGAAGGGTGAGGGTGGCATCCCCTGCAACCTCTCCTCCCCCTCCCGTCCTGCCCTGGGTGTCGGCCTGGCTTTTTCTCAGAAGGACCAGAGGGAGCGAGGACCATGGCTGGGCCCAGGCCCTGGCCTCCTTCCTTCGGGGCTTGGGTCCCCTCTGGCCTGGCCTGAGAGGCGCTGTGTGGGGTCCTGCGCTCTGGCTCTTGGCTCTCCCGGCCCCACCCCTGGCGTCCACCTCCTTGGCCTCTTCACAGACACGCTCGCACAGGCGTCCGCTGCGCTCTGCAGGAGCTCAGGGCTGGAGCTCGGGCGTGAGCCGAGTTCTTCACTCCAGGCTGACTCCACTCATTCCAGGGAGGCCCGGTCCCGAGTCTATTCGCTTATTGTCACTGTTTCTCTTCCCTTTCCGCCAAAATTCTCCCCTCCCTGAAAGCCAAAGTTCTCTTGCATCTGTGTGTCTTTATCATAAATACTGCTGTGAAATGCCTGTTGCTTTTTGGGGGTTCTTTGGAGCTCCCTAGCCTCAGTCTGGGCAGGCGCTGAGTGCGCTGACCTGTGGCAAAAGGCTGGGATCTTCATAAGGCTGCCCCTCCCCATGTGGGCCCTGGGCCCAAGGGGCTCCCTCTTCCCCTTGGGGTAGACTGTCTTTCTCTTTGTCTTGCCCTACCCTCAGGTGGGGACCAGGTCTCTTTCCCTCCCTTCTCCTTGAATTTACCTCTAAGTTTTCCTGCCACCTCTCAGCCCAGCTGCTCCAGAGGTCCCCGTCCCACATCAGAGTCTATGGAGCGTCAGGAAACGGCAAAGGACGCTGTGTGTCGGTGCCTGGAACTCCTAAACCCCGGGGGTGCTGGGCTCTCTGGCCCTGCAGCTGACCACCCGCTTGTTCCCCTCTGTTTCTTTTCCAGATGAGGACGGCCTTCCAGGGCGCCCTACGACTCACTCGAAGGCAATGGCAGGTAACTGGTTCCTAGGCATTAATCCACAGACTTTACCCACCCCCACTGCCTGCTCAACCACCTAGGCTGATGGTATTGAAGACCCGTCCCTGTCAGAAAAGGGGTGCGTGCACCCTGGAGATGAGTGAGCAAATGAAGCTTTAGGACAGGAGGAACCGTGCTGCGGGTCCCAGGTCTGCCCCCCAACGGGCTGGTGACCCAGACCCACCAGCTGCCCTCTCTGGGTCTCCCTTGCCTTGTTTATCTAAGGGCAGCAGAGGGAGGATTGGCCCACTCTGGGGGCCCAGCACCAGGGCACATCAGAATAAGTGTGCAGGCCCTTCACCACCCCGGCCTCTTCCCCAAGCCCTGCAGGCTCAGCTCCCGGTCAGGCAGGGGCACAGGCTCGGCGGGCTTGTTGCCAGTGAGAGTCCAGTGGCCACACCCTGAGCTGCTGGCTGCAGCCCGCAGGCCTGGGCAAGTTTCGATTCCCGGGTTGGGCTCCTCCCGCTGCCCCTGGGAGCCTCCAGGCCAGGTCTCATCCCAGGCTCTGGGCGGGCCGTGCAGTGTCCACTCTGAAGCGGGGCTGCCCGGGCTCAGGCAACAGGGACATGCTCATTTTAATGTGGCCAAATACAAGGAACTACAGAGACCCAGAGCAGGGACTCTTGCTCTTCAGGGTGGGAAGAGGATTGGGAGGGGCTGTAGGAAGCCAGAGGCGCCAGAGGAGGCCAGAGTGCAGGGAGCTGACCACATCTCCTGGCTGCTCCCCAGCGCTCCTGCTCCTTATTGGCGGCCTTGTTGCTTGTTGCTGGGCAGGCTCAGAGCAGACAGCTTCCTGCTCTGGGTGGAGGACACGCCCTCCCGCTGGGCCTGCAGGCAAGGCAAGTGCTGCAGGGCTGGCCAGTGCGCCTGCCTGCATGAGAGCGCCCTGCCCAGGCCTTCCTGCTCCAGGTCACTTGTGGTTCCCTTGGCTGGTTTCCACTGGCTGCTAAGTGGTCAGCATCAGGGCACAGGAAATGGCTTCCACTCAGTGCCCAGGGGCCAAGCACAGCAGGGAGCTTGGGGAGGGACTCACAAGCCAGACCACTGGCCCTTTGTTAAAGCGCTTGGGCTCTGGACTGTGGGCACAGAGGGGCTGCTCCCCAGGAGGCCCCAGGGGAGAGCCAGTGCTGTGCTCTTTCTAGTTCCCAGGGGCTGCCGGCGTCCTGGCTGTTCCCTGGCTGGTGGCGCCATCACTGCCCTCTGTCTTCCTTGTCTCCCGGGTGTCTCTGGGCCTCCAATCCCTTTCCCTCTTGGGAATAGGACAGCGGTCCTGTCCGGGGACTCGGGCCCCCCATGTCAGCATTGTCATCCCCACTTAATGCTAATTGCCTCTGGAAAGACGCTATTAGCCAATGAGGTCGCATTCATTGAAGCAGGCTGAGGACTGAGCGTGTCTTTGGGAGACACAAGGTCACCCACGACAAAGCGGCCTTGAGGAAGAGGAGTCACCCCGTGTCAGGTCAGCCGAGAGCGAGTAAGGGGAAGACTGAGCGGGGTGCTCTGAAGGGCTTCGCAGGGTTGGGGGGTCTTGGTGAGCCCCTTTCATGAGGACAAGGACAGGGAGGGCAGTCGTGGTCTGCAGGGAGAAGAGGCGGTGATGGGGCCTGTGCACGTGTCCTGAGTTCTTACTCACATCCTGTTCTTCCAACAAGTCCCCTCACCTGTGAGGGGCACACTGACGTTGCCTTGCACATTGAGGGGGACCAGGGCAGGTGGATTGTTGCTCGGGGTCCCACAGCTCTGGGGTGTGGGTGCCCAACCACCCTGCTACTGCCCCTGCCTGAACTAGCGCCAGGAGCTTGGCCCCGAGGAGCAGAGAGCCGGGCGGCGGGCGGAGGGGGACGGGGTGTGGGGGAGGCGCCTTCACGGTGGGTTAGGTGGGAGGCAGGTGGGAGGCGGGTGGTAGGTCAGGTAGGAGGCAGAGTGGTCTCCAAGGACAGGGAGACGGTGGTGGGCAGAAGCCAGGGGGAGCGGGCAGGAGCCACGGTGTGAGCAGGGAGCAGCGGGGCCGAGCCGCGTGGGCAGAGCAGGCGCCTGTCAGTGCAGAAGCAGGAGGGCCGGGGAGCGAGGGGCAGGGGCAGGGGAGGATAAACCTGGGGTGGGCTCCCCGGAAGGTCTCCCCAGGTTGCCTTCATTTCCTTAGAGAAATGGGAAGTGAGGGTAGGTGGGAGGAGGCTGAAGGGCAGAGGAAGGTGTGAGGTCCGGGTGCCCTTGGAGAGAGGGTGTGATGAGAACAGAGACTGGAGGGGATGGAGGAGCCCCAGGGCGGAGCAGGAGGGGCAGGGCTGGGAGGGCACTTGTGCTCAGTGGGTGTGGAAGCTGATGGTGAGTAGGGTGGGGAGCATGTGGATGAGGGAGTGCTGTGTGGCGGGTTATAATGTGACCTCCTGGAAAGACACAACCAGCCTAAAACTCAGAACCTCTTTCTGAGTCTGCAGGTGCAGGTAAACTAAAAACTGAGTTGAGTTCTCCCTGGAATAGGCTGGGCCCTTAATGCAATCTGACCAGTGTCCAAGGGAAGAAGAGACACAGACAAGTGGGGAGCACATAGGGGAGATGCCAGGGCCTGGAAGAGGCAGGAGGATCCTCCCCTCCAGCCTTCAGGGAGCACATGGCCCTGCCGACACCTAGATTCCAACTTCTAATCCCCGATCTGTGGGGAACAGACTCCTACCCGTGGTGGTGGTGGTGACAGCAACCCCAGGAACTAACATGGAGACGGAGGACCCAGCGGACGGGGTACGTGAGGCAGAGTTAGAGGCAGAATCTGTAACAGGAGGCAGCAGCGGGGGCTCTAGAGGCCTGGATGTCATCATAAGGGGAGCAGGTCTTGTTAACAACAAGATCTAGGGCAGCTCTGTCCATAGAACTTTCTGGATGATGAGCCTGTTCTCTGTGCTGTCCAATGTGGGAGCCACATGTGACTACTGAGCACTGGAGCTGGGTCCAGTCTGACTGAGAACTGAGATTAATTTTATTTCATTTTAATTAGTGTATTTCCATAGTCACATGTGGCTTATGGCTCTCGGGGGCTGAGGGCATGAGTTCGAGAGTTTCAGAAGTGAGAAGTGACAACAGAAAGACCAGATGGTTGACAATGTCATTTCTGCAGAGCTGAAATGAATAAGATAGGTCAGAAGGAGTGATGGGGGACAGGAATGGTGAGTCATGAACATGAATTAAAGAGATGCTGGGGAGTGAGCAGGGGGCCTGAGGCTGACATTGAACCTTTGCCCACCCTGACTACACCAAGGCCCTTTTCCTGGGGAGCTGCTGAGCTCTCTCCCAAGGATCCTGAAATCCCAGGGGGCCTGCTGTCCACTACCCAAGCATGTTGTTCCTCCCTTTCAAATGACCCTCTCCCCTCGTAAGTAAATCTGCACTGCCCAGGCATCTGTGCCCGGTGCTGCCCGTGGTGCCAGTCACAGATAGGACGCTGAGAAAAGACACGGTGATGTCAGGGGGCAGGTGGGGATGCCTCGTGCAGAAGGTGACAAGGAGGTTGAGCCTGGAGCTTGGGGGCTTTCACTACAGCCTGTGTCCTGGGATATGGATTGGAAGAACACAAATGTTTAGGAGACACTGACTTGCAGAGGAAAACAGCATGCTTTTTTTGCTTTCTCCCTTTGTTTTTGGTGTTTTGAGGGAATAAAACCCAATGTTTTGGTCAAAGGGCAGCGTGGAACCTGTTCAAGGTGGGTGCCCTTCACCATCGAGAGCATCACAGAGCTCTGGTATTCTCCATCCACTCTGCATTTCCAGTAGACTTCTCTGGAAAGGGTGGAATAGGTCAGGCAAGCCCCTCTTGCAGCCACATTGGAACTCTTCTGAGATTCCATTCAGAGACCCTCCTGTAGGAGGACCTGGGATAAAGGGCTGGTGTGCTCACAGACTGTCTTTTCTCGCTAGCTGTGATGATTGGTGCAGCGGTTGGAGGAGGTGAGTCTCCTGGGAAGGAACTCAAACAGCATCTGCCCCTGGGCCTGGGCTACCGGGGGAAGTGACCATGGGCCACCAGCCAGAAGAGTTTGTTGGATCTGGAAGCAGTGGGCAAGGGATAAAGGTAGAAGATTCCAGAAGACAAGCCTTGGCACACAGGATCCAAAGCACAGCCGAGGGCAGTCGGGTGCAGGTGCAAAGCCTGCCCTCCTGGACGGGACATTGAGCTCTCTCAGGCCAGGAGCCAACCCTGGGAGGGAGGCCAGGATTTCCTCTGGAGGTTGGAGAGAATGAGCTGCCCGTTCTCAGAACTGCTTTGCAAACCCTGGAAACTCATCCACTGAGCTCGGAGGTTCCCAGCTGGAGTGTAGACGAGGGTCCCCAATTCAGCACCCAGAATTCCAGGGAAGAACTCACTGCTGTCACCTGGCCACATGCCAAGTGCTCACAGCCCACGTGGCCGCCACGCTGGACCGTGCAGGGACGGAACCTTCCATGGCGCCCCCATGGAGCAAGACTGCCTGCTCCAGAGAGGGAGGGCGCCCTGGGGACCCCACCTGCTGCAGCAGGGTCTGGGGGCAGAGGGCGGCCCCACCCACCACCTGCACAGGGAGGCAGTCTGGGGTTCTCTGCTGTCCCCCTATGTTTGGGGCAGGATGCTTCTGTGCTTACAGGGGGCTTGGGGGGGCCTCTGCTTCCTCAGCTGCATGTATTTGTCACTGGGGGCCCTGAGGCCCAGGGAGGAGAGGGGAGCTCTCCGGTGTCCCAGGAAAATAGGGGCAGGGAAGGGGCATTGGGGTCTAGCTTCTCGTGGTGCCCACCTAGTGGAGGTTCCCAGGTCCACAGCCGTCCTGTGCCCGGGCTCCGTCCTCACAGAGCCTGGAAGAACCCCACCCCGACCCCATCGGTGTCAGGCACATGAGGGGCTGTCTGTTCCACTGGGTCAACCTACAGGTTCTTTTCTCCACAGTTGCAGCGGTGGTGGCTGCACCCGTGCTGCTGGGCGCCGTAGGCTTCACGGGGGCAGGAATCGCCGCCGGCTCTGTGGCGGCCAAGATGATGTCAGCCGCGGCCATCGCCAACGGGGGCGGCGTGGCGGCCGGCAGCCTGGTGGCCATTGGGCAGTCCGCAGGTCAGTGTCCTGGCAGCAGGAGGAGAGGGAGGCCCACCTGTGCCCTCCCGCCCTGTCTTCGGCGTCCCCGCCCCCACCCTCCCTGGCCCGGCGTGGAGGTGTGGGTGTCTGGGCCCGGGTGAGGCGGGAGGTCGCCTTCCGGACAAAACCCAGAACTGCTGGGCAGGTCCCGCCCTCTGGGGGCTCAGCCTCTCCGGGGAAGGCGAGGCACCGGCCGTCTCCCGCAGGTGCACCTGTCCCAGGGGGCTCCCCGCAGAGTGGATGCCGCTCTTTGGGGAGCTACTGCAGCAGCCTGTCCCCTCAGCAGATGCAGGGGTGCAGGGAGCAGAGCAGGGAGTCGCCTGGGGGCATTTGTGGGTTCTCGGGCTTCCCAAGGCCCCGGTGTCTTGACTCCTCTCCTTGGCCAGTCACCCAGGGCCCCTGTTGCCTGTGCTCACACCTTCTCTTCCCTTCCAGGCATGGCTGGATTGTCTACAATATCCAACGTCATCCTGGGGACTGTTGGGTCCGCTGTTGGGGCGCTGTTGTTTATTTAGGAAGAATGAACACTCCTTTCTAAGCAGCGAGGCGCACGAAGCAGCAGCGGGCTCCAACATGGAGGTGTTCCCCAGGGTTCCAGGCGCAGGTCTAACGTACAGCCATGGCGACTCAAATTATTCAAAGAAGCACAAAAAATAAAGACGAGCGGCCGAGACCCTCCACGAGCGTGGTGCTGTGTCGGCGCGTGGGCTGGCGGTGGGGGGTGCTCTGCGGGCGGTGCCGGGCAGGGCCTCGCCGGGAAGGAGCGTGGGAGCTGTGACAGCAGCCGGCTCTGTTCACAGCCTCCCACTCCCGTCTGGCCTGGGAAGGCCCCGTCCTCCGCGCCCAGGATTCGGGGTCTGCTTCAGGACCTGGAAGTCACAGCGCTGCGTCTGCTGCCGGGGGGCCCTTCCCCCTGGGATCAGGCTGCCTCTATCCAGGGCCTCTGCCCTCCTTGGCCCAGAGCAGGACATCAGCCCCCCAACCCCCACCCGGGACTGGACAGGCCCTGCGGGAGGGACGGGCCACCTCCTGGTCACGGGGCTCCCAGAGGTGACCAATGCGGGCCCCTCACTTCCAGAGGCCCCAGTGTGCCCTTCCCGGGGCCAGCTGCCAGGTGTCCTGCCCATGTGCCACCTGCCTGGAAAGGCGTGTCAGCCACCCCAGCTTCGGGACGCCTGTTCCCCCTTCAGACCGGGGCTGGGACCACGGCCTATGGGTTGCAGGCCCTCGGGCCAGGTCCCCACTCTGGCCTGTGTGTGCTTCGTGTCTGTGCTTCCTTCCTGTCCCTCCCCCAACAGCCTCTCTCCCTGGGACCCTGCCTCAGTGTCCCCCGACTCCCAGCTGCCCTCAGGGCTCTACCCAGGGCCAGTGGCCCCCGTGGACCCGACGGGTCCTCTCTGCTGGGTGGGCATTGTTGGGGCCTAGGAAGCTCACAGGTGACAGTGTTAGGATCTTGCTCAATGAGAGTAGGGAGCACATGCTCACCCTTCCGGTCCCTCATTCCCCACCCTGTGCCCCACAGCTCCTCCCCCCAAGAGTGCAGCTGGTTTCCTCCCCTGGCATCTGGCTGGGCTGCTGGATGAGAGTCGTGCAACGGGCACCGTGTCACCCACCTGTTCCTGGGGGGCCTGGACAGGCTCCAGGTGAGCTCACATCTGGGGAGCCGGCCCAGGGCTGCCTGTGGATGTGACAGGGCGCCCGCTGGGCCCAAACCTCCTCCTAAACTGCTGGCCCGTGGAACCGCGAGCTACCTCAGTGCATTTTAAGTCCCTCGTTTTGAAGATGTCACCCACTTCCCCCCAAGTGATACGGTCACACCCTGAGTGCGGCACTTTCACAGGGTCGGCTGCACCGCCTGCAGGACAGGAAGGAAGAGATCAGTCTAGTTGCTGCTGCTTTAACTGCCGCGGACCTGCACAGCAGTAGACGATGAGGCCGCCTCAGGGTTGAGAGAAGCGTGCAGGGTGGTCAGGGCGTTGGCGAAAGAAATGACAAACAGACACACTTCAAGAGAGTGAAAATCTGAGTGTAATTTTCTTTGAGTTGGTGACCAGTATATATATGTTTTCTAAAGGCTTAGGAATGGCAAACATCAGTGAAGAAATCAGCTTGCTTATAGGTTTAGCTTATCATTAACAAAAAAAAAAAAATTTTTTTTTTTGTTTTATGTGATTACTTTTTTGTTTAAACTACTCACTACCACTAAATTACTATTAATTAGCACGGTTGAGTTTTACTTTTCACAATGTAATATTTTTATCATTAAGATTAATACTAACAAGGCTAAGCATATAACAGAGAAATTATTAAGCTAACAGTTTTATTAATACACAGTGTTTAGCAACGTTTCATTTGAATTAGCCTAGTTATTAGATTTTGTATGTTCTTTTTTAATCAGCAAACCAATGACCTTTTTAGACAGAGAAAGAGAAAAGATTTTAGAAAGAGAAAAGATTTTAGAGAGACAGTTGTATTAGAATAAAGTTTGTGGGCCTTGAGAAGGTGAGATAAGGTTCCCTGCGGTCAGCATTCCTGTAGTGGCTCCTTGGGGTCGTTATCTTTCAACAGGCTTCCGTCTTATCTATGTCTTCGGGGGGCGGTTTGCTGTTCTCCCCCTGCGAGCTGGTTCCTTGCCCAGCCTGACCTAGGGATCGTGGCAAAAGCCATTAGCCCTAAAGGTCACTGCAGGGGGAGGTGCAGCATTTAACCCCAGCTGAACAGGGAGCAGGTACCCCTGGCCCCGTCCCTATAAGGACTGCGCCCGAGTCTCGACTCAGTGGGTCTGGCCCTGAAGGAAATGGGCCCAGGGAAACGTGTGCTTGTGACCAAGTGAGCGTGTGGAACCCGCTGCCTGGGACAGAGCAGTCACTTCTGAATGTTGACGCCCAGAGGTGACATGGCAGGACCCCCAGGCCCCAGACGCTGTTGTAAATAATCAGGGTCCTTGGAACAGGCTTCTTTGCCCCTCAACACGTAGACAACATCAGGTTAGCACGTTAACTCGACCCCTGCCCACTTTCTTTGCAAAACTGGAACTATTTCTCCTTGCAAACTGCATAATCCTCTCAAGACGCTGGGCTCTCAGGCTGCTTTCCCACAGCTCTCTGGAGGCTGTTTCTGCCTTGATTCTTGAATAAACTCACTGTGTTGGCTTCAATTTATTCAAGCCAACACTCTGAAGACATCCTGGAGGAGGTGTCTTTTACTTAAGGATTATGCATTTCTGAGTCCTGGAAACTTGATTATCAGTGGCTCAGAAGCAAGGGTTGTCTTGGCCTACTGAACTGAAATGAGCCAAAGCAGTGAGCTCCAGGCAAGGTTGACTCAGCAGCTACACGTGGTTGGCATGGGGTTCTTTCATCTGCTGCCTCTGGACATCTTGGTCACCCCACAGAATGTTGATGCTCAGAGATGGCATTGTGCAAACCCCAGGCCTGAGGATCCATTGTTAATAGGGAAACAATCTCTACCACACCTGGAGTTTTTTCTGATGAAATTGGAAAGAACAGTTTCGGTTTCCCGAGGAAATGAAACTTATCCCACTGGCTGCCTGCAGCGCTGGGGGGCGGTGCGTCACTCTGCTGCAGCTACTTTAGCCTGGCTCAGCAGACAAAAGGATCAGACCACAGGCAAGACTGCGTGGTCACTTCCACACTTTCGGATTCTGCTATTCCTGGTCAGATAGGGGCAGGAGGGTGGGCATGGGCTGCTTTTTCCTGTGGCCCCAGCTGGGGAGGGGTGGGAAGCTCAGCCAGTGCAAGCCCCAAGGGGGCATCTGGTCCAGGCTTTCTCCTCAGGCTCTGCCCCAGAGCAGAGGTCTCCCTGCCCCTCTTGGCCCTGTGTCCTGGGGCTCCGGGACTAGGAGTCTGTCCTTGCTGCAGGCTCCTGACGGTGCCCTCAGGCCTGGGGGCAGGTGGGGTGAGAGAACAGAGGGTAAGATAAGCTTTCAAGGAAGAATCAGAGTCCAGAGGGCATCTCCTGTCTGTGAGATGCTGTGTGATCGCATCTTCCTGATGTGTGTGTGTGTGCGTGTATGAGGGTGTGTGAGGGTGTGTTAGTGTGTGTGTGAGTGCCTGTGTGCAGATGGAATGAGGGGGAACCAGAGCATCCTCCTCATGATTTGCGCCCTCAGGATGAGTTGGTTTGAATTCCCTGAATCCTGTGCTTCCTGAGTGGCTCTTGGTGGTGGAGGGCGTCCAGCGCTTCCCCACAGCGGACGCTGGTGCTTTCCAAGGAAGGATGCAGCCCCCGCGTGGACTAACATGAGGCCCCACAGAGCCACCCAGCCCTCCCCTAACACGGGTCCATCTGTCACCCCAAAGCCCACACGTGCTCCTCTCCAGGCCGCTGCCCACGGAACCCACACAGCCTGTCTGTCCCTCTGAACCCCCTTTTCCAAGGCGGTGTTGGGGCTGGCTCTGACGTCCCTCTCCTGCCCACAGGTGGGCTCCAGTGAGTGCCGGTCACCTGCTGCGTCATGGCCTTCCTCCAGGCAGGCGTCCTGGCCTCCTCCCTGGCCTCCAAAGTGATGTCGGCAGCAAGTCTGATTAAAGTGAGTGGGGCAGCCTCTGGCAGCGTCCTGGTCGGACTTTCCTCAGTGGGTGAGTGATCCCCGGAGGGCTTGCTGGGGTGAGGAGGTGGCAGGAGGTGGGGGGAGCCCAGGGTCCGGTATGGGAGGGAGCCCCAGGGAGGCCGAGGGTGGCCTCTCCTACAGCCTCCCTGCTCCATCCTGTCCTCCCCGGGGGTCTGCCTGGCCAGAAGGGGACAGGACTGGGGGGGCCCGGGAGGTGGCCCCCTTCCCTGTGGACCTGGTCCCCTCCGAGGGGGTCTGAGCTGGGGCCGGCGCTCTGGCTCGCGCGCCCAGCTTCACCGGCAGCTCTGAGCTGGGTGCTGCCCACCCGCCCAGCAGCGCTCAGCCCGCGTGTCCCGCCGGAGCCCAGAGCCGCAGCTGCTGTGGCCTGACTCCCGGGTTCAGGCCCGTTGTCGTCATGAGCTCCTGGGAAGCCCCTCCGGGTTCCTGCCCTACTGTGGGTGTCTGCCTCCCGCGGGCCGCTCACCCCACAGTCAGCTCCTTTCCTGTTCCCCGGGGATCCTGCTCACCGACGTCTCTGCCGGGCGGGGAGCCGTGTGGGTGCTCTGGGCGGGCGCGCGGGGCGCCCTCAGCGGAGCCGAGCCTGGTATCCGAGTCGTGTCCGGGATGGGGAGCTGCTCGGTGCTGGGAGGGCATCGCCCTCTCCCTTCTTCACTGGGCCGTGGGCCTGGGGCTCCTCCAGCCCCCCCAGCACCAACAGCTGGTGCCTGTGGGCAGGGACCCCCCCCCCTGCCCCCAGCTCAGCCTCACCCTCCCTCCTCCCTCCTCTAGGGAGCTCCCTGCCATCCCAGGCCGCCCTGACTCAGGCCTTGTCCACCCTCGGACCCTTGCTGGGCTCCCTGAAAGCCTCCTCTGTGCTGGGATCCTCTGCCTGTGCCCTGACAGTGTCCCCTCTGGCAGGTAATGGTCCTGGGTCACTCACCCCTGGGCTTAGCTCAGCCAAGGAAGGGCGCCGGGGAGGTCAGCGCTGTGCCAAGCCCAGTCCTTCGAGTCTGCCAAGATAGGATTCCTCAGCTTGCACAGCTATTGACATGAGGGACCCATCACCTGGGCTCCTGGACACCCCCCTCCCCCCAGGAGTGAGCTGGGAGCACTGAGGCCCCCTGCTGGGACAGGAGGTAGAACACACAGCCCAAGGCTCTGCCTGGAAGAGGCTTTAGGGCCAAGCCTGTCCTGAAGAGTCCAGAAGGGCCAGGCCCCTGACAGGATGGTGGGGTCCCGCAGTCAGGCCGCCAGATGACACCCCCCTTCCCGGCCTTCTGCCTGCTCACCCAGGTAGGCCTTGAGCCGGCCAGCCCAGCCACCCCCACGCCCCGTCCACAAAGCGGAGCAGCAAACTCTTCTACCTGCATTCTGAGCCCTGGCTCCAGCAGGCCGGGGACCCTCTGTGCTCTGGGTGGTTGATGCTCACACCCATCTCTCCTTCCCCCACCACCACCCCGGGGAGTGGCTGAGCGCCTCCTTCTGTGCATGGTGGGGAATCCTGACCCACGGGCCCATCTACAGGTCGTTTTAAGATGACCAGATTGTCCCTCCCCACCATCCCGCCCCAGCTCTCCCCTCCCCCAGTGTGTGGGTCTCAGGCTCATAAGCACCTTAGCGTGCTCCAGGGCTGTGTGTGGCTTCAGTCAGAGGGATAAGGACGAGTCTGATTGGGAAACTCTGGGAAGGCTTCCTGGAGGAGGGGCTAGGGATCCTGCCCTCCTGTGTTCACTCCCAAATCATAGTAGATGAGGGACTCGGAGTGGAGGGGAAGCCAGTGTGATCCATTCACAGAAGCTCCCTTTGTTTTCCAGTCAAGGCTCTTGCAGCTGTACTTGGAGGAGGTGAGTATCTGAGGGATGGGGCTCTGAGCCCTTTTGGGGGAGCCACGGGCCTTGTCCATGCCCATCTTTGCTCCAGGCCTCATGGAGGTGGTCAGGGGGGAAGGAGATGATGGAGACCAGCAGGTGGCCAGGAGTGGACCCAAGGGCAGGGAGGCGAAGCCCGGAGTGCCATGGACTCTGCCATGGAGGCGGTACTGCAGGGCCCAACTGCTCTGGCATAGCCTGTGTGACCTTGGCTGTGCCCTTGAGCTCCTCTGAGTCCTGCTTCCTCCCCTGAAACACCACCCCTATTGCCCAATCAGGGTCATGGTGAGGCTCCACGGCCAAACTGGGCACTGAGCATGAAGGTGGTGGGCGTCAGAGAGACGCCATAGCCCGGAGACCTGGGTCCAGGGCCTCCCGAAGGTCTGTCGTGACGCCACGGACCCCGGGTTGCTCCAGCTCAGAACCTGGTCCTCCCTGACACTAGGCCCCTGGGAAGACTTGCTGGTGGTAAAGGTTCTGTCTGTGAAGCTCGAAGCTTGCACACATGCAGGTTCCAGCAGACACGAGGCCACGAGGGCTGGCGACTTTCCCTAGGATGGTCGATCTGCAGACGGGAGCCCGCCCAGGGCCCAGGGATCCCCAGTCACCCCTCTGCTTCCCCCCTCCCCGTGGCCATGCCTGTGGCCTGAAGTCCAGTGTGCCCCTTTCCAGTCCTCCTGGGTCCTCGGGCTGGACTCCATGTGTGTATGTGTGGTGGAGATGATTTTGGGGAAGTGGTGCTTCCCCTGAGCCTCCCATGGACACAACTTTTGTCTCCCCAGCTGTGTCTGTGACGGCTGCACCTGCAGTCCTGACCGCCCTGGGCTTCACCAGCTCCGGAATCGCTGCGTCCTCCCTGGCGGCCAAGATGATGTCATTGGTGGCCATCGCCAACGGGGGTGGAGTGCCGGCCGGCAGCCTGGTGGCCATTCTGCAGTCTGCAGGTCAGTGTCCTTGGGGGCTGGCTGTGGAGGGAGAGAGGAACTAATCTCAGTGTCCAGGCCCCACTGGAGGCCCTGACCGCAGTCTCACTCCTGTCTCACCTTCTGCCTCCCTCTCTGGGTTTTTCTATTTTTCTTTTTTTAAAAATTATGTTTTGTGGGCCTCCCCTGGTGGCACAGCGGTTGAGGCTGCAGCGCCAGTTCGTTCCCAGGCCACTGGCGGGGGTCCCACAAAAAAAAAAAAAAAAAATTGTGTTTTGTGTGTTTTAAAAAATTTTTTTTTTTTAAGATTTATTCATTTATACAAGAACTGGCATACAGGCCAGATGCACAGGAGGGTGTGGGGATTCACCAGAGACAGAGTGGGGAGCAGAACAGGCAGACTGACGAAACACACTGCTGAGGGGGCAGCAGGCAAGACAGGAGAGGTCTGCAGCGCCATTGGGATTCTCGCCGGCCAGCTGGGGATGGAACTCGTGCTGCAGAGGCTGCGACAGCTTCACAGTGTGGCGCTCAACCGCCTGCGCCACCAGGGAGGCCCTCTCTGGGTTTTTCTGAGGGACATCAGAGCAGGTGGCGGCGCTCTGGCCTGGGTGTGTGCCGGTTCCGGCCTACCCGGCCCAGAGCAGAGAGGCTGGGGGTCTCTCCCCCCACCTGGAGTTCTGTCTTCCCCCGCTGGAAGCTCCAGGTGTTGCTTTCACTGGGAGACTGGTGGGTGTTTGGGCCTCAGAAGGAGGTGATGGGTGGAGCTTCCACCTCAGGCCCTCCTGAGGGCCCTGGATTCTGTGACCCTACGTGAGCTGCACTGACCACCTGACGCTGTTCTCCCTGTGCTTGTCCTCAGGCGCTGCTGGACTCTCCCTGTCGTCCAAACTGCTGCTGGGCTCCACTGGCTCTGCCCTTGTTGGTGGCGCTGTGATGGCCTTGTAACAGCTCCCTGGCACCCCCTGCAGACAAGATGCTGGAGGAGACCTGAGGCCAACCCTGCACTTATGGTCCCCAGCCCGCACAGCAAGGCCCCCCAGCTCACACAGCAAGGCTCCGCAGTCCACACAGCAAGGCCCCCCAGTCTACACAGCAAGGCCCCAGCCTACACGTCAAGGCCCCAGCCACACAGCAGGGCCCATCCTGCTCACCATGTGTCCTCGCTGCCCCCAGGAAGACCAGCAATAAAAATGGTTCTGCTACCCTCCTGGACCTTTCCTTTCTTGCTCACAGTTCAGCTGACTTTTCTTTACCAACCACGTGTCACGCGCATCAGTAAGTTGGGGGGTGAGGAACACCTGGAGCCCAACAGGAAGCCAGGAAGCCAGGAAGCTGCCCCTCCCCAGCTTCTGGCTGTCCGGTTAACCTGGCAGATCGCCTCCCTCTGGGCCTGCGTTTGATCAGGGACCCAGCCAGGCTGGGTGGCTCCGATCCTGCTGAGGGACTGGCTGCGGGCTTAGGCACCACTTGCCTCAAGGACACAGGTGCTCCTTTACCTGGCCCCACGCTCACCCCACACCAGCGCTCAGCGTGGTCCCTCAGTGGCCTGGCTCAGGCTAAGAAAGCTCAGGCCTGAGCCATCACTGCCCCACCGCAAGGTGAAGTTCACTGCCCGCCCTGGCTGTTTGTCCACAAGGCCAGCAGGGAAAGTTCCTTCGACCCTGCAGTGTCTCGGACGCCGTGGGAGTGTGTGTTTAACACTCCTTTCTGGCGCCGTAAGCTGCCGCCCAGGCATTTTGTGTGTTTCATGTTCCAGTCCTGGGGTGGGGCCCGGGGTCCTTCTATGGCAGCGTGGGATTAGACCCCGCCAGGGAGGGGTGTTGTTGTTACTGGGGTCTCCTCACCTCTGGCCCCTCTCGGGTAGAGAGCAAGGAAGCAGGTCTGTGTCCTCCCCTCGCAGGACACACTCGGCAGCAGCAGAGCCGCCTCCAGGCCGCGTGTTCTCTGTGGCGTGACCTTGGCAGTGACCTCTACTCTCCCAGAATGAAACTGGCAGATCATGTCACCCAGTTAACACAAGATACTGCCCAAACTGCAGTACAAAACAGAGGTACAGGAAGTTACTTGAACATAGAATAGTGTGTATTTTGCTAAGGATGTGCCCCCGATGGTTATACCAGATTCTACCAGAAAACCCTGTGCCCGTTTGCTTTTCTCTTTGAGGCAATAGTCATTGAAAATCATCAACACTGTTACCCATTGGGTCCTTCTGGAGCAAACGCTTGCGGAGACAAAGATCTGTCTCTACCGAATGAGAGTCACAAACGCTGACTGGAGATCATGAGTGACTTGCTACTGGCGCCATGATTTTGTGAAGCGGCAAATTCTGGGACAAAATACAACGTGAGGGGTTTCTCCCCAGCCACCTAAGTAGTTGTGGGTCACCCATGGGTGGCCTGTAGCAGCTCAGCTCCCTCCGGACCGTCTGCCCGAGGCAGCATGAGATCCCCGCCCAGTGCTCAGCCCACAGCCCCATCCCTGCCCGCCCCATGGCCAGCTTCTCCCCGGGGCTGCTGCCCCACGGGCTGGGAGTCAAGGCTCTGAGACCCTCCTTGGCCAATTAATTTGCTAGAGCGGCTCACAGAGACTCCGTTTATTCTCCAGATTATCAATTTATCACAAAGGATGATGGAGGATACAAATCTGCCCCCAGCTGAAGGGGTGAAGACACACAGAGGATGAGGTTCCAGACAAAGGCGCTTCTCTCTCTTGGGTTTGGGGCCCTGAAGGTGGCGCGGGGAAGCATTTGGGTCGTTGTCCCAGAAACCCTCCACATTTCATTTTGGGATTCTAGGAGGCTCCACTGCATGGGAATGATGGATGAATTCATTAACTGGTGGTGACTGACTCAACCTCGGAGCCCTGTTCTCTCCCAAGTAACCAGGGGACCCACCTGAAAGTTCCCACCCTCTCCCATGTTTGGGGTATTTCTCCAAGGCATGCCTCTCACTTCATCTCAGCCGTGGGTGGTTGTTGTGCAAGCACCCACCAGGCAGGTTCAGCAGATGAAGGAGAGTCCTGGAGCCCCCGGTGTATTTTCCAGGTTTTAATGCTCTCAGGGAACCAGGTACACAGGCACACCAGCCAGGGAGGTTGGCATGGAAGGAGACAGGCACAGAGGGGGGAGGGGTGGTGCTGTGGGGCACTGCAAGGCAGGTGGCAACTAAGCCTCCTAGCCCCCCATGAATCTTCACTCTTTCCCTGGGCTCTCTCTTGCATTCCCTCATAGTCTCCCTTCTTCTGTAGTCATGCTGCTTGTCCTCTGGTGTCAGAATCTGAGTGCTGCCGCCCTTATATCCCAGGTATCTAGGCTCAGGTGTGCATACCCACACCTGCCCACACCCACACACCAGGTGTCCATAATCAGGCACACTTGCCCTGAGCCCACACTCCTAAGCGCCTTCTGCATCAACAGGATCAAGGCCGCAGGTGATACCGTGGAGGCTTGTGGCATTCAATTCACTTACCCTACCGTTACGTATGAGAAGTCACCATTTAACCTTTGTGGCTCTGAAGTGACTTCAGGAATGGAGCAGAAGAGACCAAATATAGTAAATGGGGCTCCTGTTGCTCTTACAGATTAGTAAATTCCAAGGGTTTGGGGAGCCGTGAGCCAGGAACATCAAATGAAGACCAAAATATACATTTACTGTAAGCCACAGTATCCTGAGTGGCAAGTAACTCCTGGTAACATCCAGAACAACTCAAAGAGCCATCGCTCCCTGTTTTGTCAGATAAATGCAATTACTAAAAATTCAATCTGTATTAAAAGTAGACCAAAAAAAGCAGACAAAAAAATGCATGAAAAAAGTGGTGAAATTATAGGCTCAGAAAATCATGAGTTTTGGCTGCTATGGAGGGACCTGTGGCATTTGTACAGATAAATTTTTGCTGTGTGAGACTGTCCTGCCCGCTTTAAGACATCAGGTTTCCCGGGCTTCCAGATACTAGATTCTAGTAACACCCCTTCATCTGTGATGGCTGAAAGCAGACTGTTAAGTTTCCAAAACGTCCTGTAGGGGCAGTAACATCCCTGGTAAAACAGAATGTGACTTTCAAAATCTAGGACCGCTTATAATTATGTAAAGGAAAATAAAATAAATAAAACCAAGAAATGTCTTATTTTAATAAAATGTTTAATTTGAATATTTAACTTGTGCATGAAATTGTGGCATTTTGGACAGATCAGGTCGTGATTCCTGTTTTAATGGTGTGCTCCAGTAAGAGATTTAATCATGGGATAATAAGGTTGAAAAACGTTCTATTTATTAAAAAAAAATTGGAAACAGTGAGAATGGCACATATTAAAAAAAACTAGCAACAACAAATGCTGGCGAGGGTGTGGAGAAAAAAACTCTTCTGCACTGCTGGCGGGAGTGCAAACTGGTCCAACCACTATGGAGAGCTGTGTGGAGATTTATTGACCCACTAAACATAGAGCTTCCATAGGATCCAGCAATTCCATTCCTAGGTATTTACCCAAAGGACACAGAAACAGTAATTCCAAAGGGTACCTGGCACCCCTATGTTTACGCAGCTCTGTTTACAATAGCTAAGCTTTGGAAACAACCCAAATGCCCAAAAATAGATGACTGGATCAAGAAGATGTGGTCCGTAGACACCATGGAATATTACCCAGCATTCAAAAAAGATAAACACATGCAATTTGCAGCAACATGGATTGAGCTGGAAGGGATCATGCTCAGTGAAATAAGCCAGAAAGAAAAAGAAAAATACCGGATGGCCTCACTCATAGCAGGAATCTAGAAAACTTAAATAAGGGACCAGGAAAAGGAATAACTATAAGAAAGTGAAAATCAAAATCAACAAAAAACTATGAACCAGAGACACTCTGTGGGAGGGGAGGGATTGGGGTCAAAATAAGGGGGTTGCAATTGTATGGTGAATATAAAAATAAAATTTATTTAAAAAAAAAGAAATGATGCAAATCCAATAAAATACCTTGCTTCTTAGGTCTGCATTGCAAGAAGGAAAAACAGGCAAACCTGCCCCTCTCCTAATGGTGTATATTACAGTTATTTGGCTGATTAAAAAAACAAAATTGGAAACAAACATTGCTTATGAAAAATTAAAGTTCAAAATTGGATAAATTGATTTCATCATTTTAATAAGATTTAATAATGTGTATGGAAAGGTTTATTAGAAGCAATGGAATGTTTAGAAAAAACTGATTACATGTGTTGAAAAATAAGACTACAGGTCTAAAATGTGTGACATATGCCAAACCTATGTTGCCAATCTGAGATTTAACTTAATACAAGTGTTGGCTCTCCCAGAAATGGAATCTTCAGCCAGGCAATCAGGAATTTCTTGAGGAGCACTCGCCAGGGAATCTGCCTGATAAAGTCCTGTCCCCTGAAGAAAAATGATCTTGCAATAACCAAGCTACTTTTTAGGGTAGTGTAACTTCCTTGTTCCTGCTTTCTTCTGCCTATAAAACTCTTGGATTTTTGTACAGCTCTGCATTATATTTTGAAATTTAATTTACTGTTTTTACTGTTGAGTACGATAAGTTCTCTGTTTCTGATGTTATTTGCGTTTTCTCTCTTGTTTTCTATGTGAGCTCAGCTAAAGATTTGTCTATTTTGTTTATCTTTTCAAAGAACCAGTTCTTGATTTCATTGCTCTTTTGCATTTCCCCCCGTCTTTTTCTAGTTCTTTGAAATGTAACATTAGATTATTTATTTGTGATTTTTCTTGTTTCTTGAGTTAGGTCTGTCTTGTTATAAATGTCCCTCTTGGTATCCTCCTTTGTTACATCCCATAGGTTTTGGCTGTTCGTGTTTTTGTTTTTATTTGTCTCCAAGTAGTTTTGGTTTCTCTTTTGATTTCCTTGTTGACCCAATAGTTGTTCAGTAGCGTGTTGTTTAGGTTCCTCATATAGTACATTTTCTCTCTATTTTTTTCTCCCATCTCTCTCCTTTTTTCTTTTGGTTGATTTCTAGTTTCATGCCATTATGATTGGAAACAATGCTTGGTTTCAATAATTGTAAATTTATAGAGACTTGTTTTGTGTCCCAACATATGGTCTGTCCTTAAGAACGTTCCATATATTATTGGGAAGAATGTGTGATCTGCTGTGTGGATTAGGTTCTGTATGTATCTATTCAACCCATCTGATGGGATGTGTCATTTGAGGCTGTTGTTTCCTTGTTGATTTTGTGTCTGGATGACCTAGCCATTGCTGGAAGTGCGAAATGAAAGTTCCTCACCATGAT